TCACTAAATATCAAGAAAGATAGAACGATACTTGTGTCGACTTGTGTCATCAATTGGAAAGCAGCCATAGAAAGTTTCTTATATTTAAGGCTGATTTTAATTAGTTTCAAAATGTCATAAACCAATTATAAGCTATATTAGTGTCTTAAGATTAATTAAAATATTTAAGACAGTGTTCTTGTAATAAGAACAGATTATGATTACTATTTAATAATGATTCATTGTTTGCTAGCTCTGTTTAACAAATAAAAAGAGCTGCTTAGTAAGCATTTACAGTGAGCTTGATTGCTTGCATTATAATAGATTAGTATATACTAAAAAGTTGTTATACATGAAATTAGTAAAAAATTAAATAGCAAAACATATATGGATATTTTAAATTATTAAATACTTAATATAATGATGTTGTCATATTACTTAATAGAATACATACATAGATATTATCTCATTATCAAAGTTGATTATATTATATGTTACTCTACATTAAGATACTTTATATAAAGCAGCCTGTATAAAAGTATATTAGTGCAATGTAGTATGAGTGACAAAATATATATTTACAGATAGTATTTTTTATACATATATGATTAGTCCTCATCTTTAGTTTCTTTGGATCTAAGTGTATAAATCATATAAAAAAATCATTGAACTGTTCTTTCTGTTAAAACCATTTTATAGGAGAAACTTGGTATACATACGATTGCAAAACAAATTAGAGAATAAATCAAAAGCTGTTCTAGAAAAAAAATATAAACTCACCAGACTTAGCGGCAGAGGATTCATTAGCTGCCTTCTTATATTCTTCATCTAAAACGCGATTGATCTTTTGGTAACCATCTTCGAGATTTCTTAGGCGCCTCTGCCAGTACTGATCCTGCCGTCTTAGTTCCTCTTCCATTTGCTGCTGCATTTGAAGAGCAGACACTGTCAACTCTGGATAATACACTGGCTGTCCAGGCGTGGCTTCGCTAGTGTGAGACATGGATGTTGTCACCCTGGAAGGTGCCGATTGCTGCATCGGTGAGGGTATCGCATCCGACGGAGGCTTATGCGCCCTTGATTTCTCTCCCTGAGCGAGACGCTGTACGATCGCGTTTGACACCTTGATCACCCCGACTTCCTCTTCGTTCGAGATGGTCAGCTTGCGGGCACTCTGGCCGGAGCCCATCCTCGGGATTCTAATTCAGCAGCCTTCTGCGAAAAACCTCGTGATCTCGCTCGTCTGTAACAAACAATTGCGCCGATTTTGTCTTTCCTTTTCATGTCGCTACGTAAACATCGGCTATCCAATGTCTTTTACGTGGCCTAGCCTTGTCCGTCCGTTGTCCTGGTCCGATGACAGCGGCCAGCCGTTTTTCGCCTCATCAAAGTAAAGTTACATAAATATTTTAAATCAAAAATATGGACATTGAACTAGGCAGCCAACATCTATGATCCCGTCGATAAGGGCACATTCAGCGGACTCAACAATTAAGTGAATACTCGCTATTATTGGTGCACTCTTCTAGATCTAAAATTTTGATTGGATGATCTAAAAGAATACACCAATGACAGCGAGCGCACACTCAACTCAACGCTGAACGCTCCCTATTAGGGTTGGATTATACTGGCCGTAATCTGTAAAAATTAACCAATTAAAATTCATTATTTCCCCCTCATTCGTCTGTGATTGGTCAATTTTTACAGATTACGGCCAGTATAAATCAACCCTTAAGCGGGGAGCACAGACTTTTGCATAACGCATAAACCATATACATAAACAATTTGATTG